GGTCCATTATTTCGTTTATCATATTATCAAGTTGTGTATCAAAAATGTTCCTATTAGTGTCAGTTCTTCTGCATGGCCAACATTGTAGTGCATCTGATGATAGGTTATGATTGCTCCATAAGTCTGCTGTGGAATTAATTTAGGTATCATTTTATGTAACTTTATTGACAGAAAATTACTTGTAAGACTCTTATATTCATTGCCAGGACTTTATAAAACTGGCGTGTAAGGTCAAGACATGTTATGGTAACTCATGGCGGTCCACCAACCATACTTTTCTCTGGTCTGTAAGTTAGAATATAATTATTCAATCAGTCCCTTTCTCACATGGTCCATTGACCATGGTACACTATTCCCTGTATTTTGACAGCAGGGAGATCCAACCTCCTATATTTTCATGAATGACATCTTGGAAATTTAGGATTGAAGCTAAAGTAAAAGTGAGTCCATTGATAATGCCAGCTGGAAACTTTGCACAGACTTTGTGTGAAGCAAAAGATTTCCAGTCATGAGTCTCAAACTAATTTTTTATCCATTTCAATTTACCTTTTAGCAATTACATTTTATGCTCTTATGGAACATTACAGTCCACTGTTTTCTAATTCCCTTTCCGCAGCACTTTTTAAAAAGGTTTTCAAAATGTCTACTTTGTACCCCAGTTTCCCCAGCTTGCAAACCTTTCACAAACGTTAGCTTTTTACTAATGATTGCCTTTGCACATCTAATAATGATTAGAATTTGTGGATTAAGAATAGATCCTATCAATTTTTACAAAGAAAAGTGGACTTGAGACTACTCATTAACTTTCTGCTGAAGTTGTTTCCAACTTAGCACATCTTCTTTTGGATCTCTAGAGCAGTGGTTGTCAACCTTTTTAATGTTGTGACCCCATAATACAGTTCCCCATGTTGTGGTGACCCCCAACCAGTTATACATCACTGGGTGCCAGGGGCACGGCCAAAGAAAAGGGGGAAAAATGGCGGACAGCCTTGTTTGGCGACCCCCGTGAAATGGTCGTTCGACCCCAAATGGGGTCCCGACCCACAGGTGGGGAACCACTGCTCTAGAGTCATAATTTGGATGTCTGCATACTAGTGTTTTATGTGAGCAGTTTGTTGACTCATTATAAATCTTAGCATTTCTTTTTTGTCCTAGCATGCCTAAGAAAGACATATCAATTTTATGACAATATATAATATATTGGTCGAATTAAATATTTGCACAATCTTCTATTATCCAATTGTCCGCTACTGACACAGTTGTGGATCTCTTTTCCTAGCTATGTTATTACATCTATTGCAGCTTTTTGAGGTATTTTGTTACATGACATTTTGAAAGCTGCTATTTGAGCTTGACTTTATCCTTTGTTAAACATTATCAACTGGGCACAAAAGCTTGATGGATGTTGCATTTAGGTGGATTGTTGTTTTGTTAGTATTGTTAAAGTTTCATTAAGGTAAGATAACAGTAGTTCCCCAGAACGCATGCACTGGAGAAAGCAAGTATCTGGGTCTACCCAAATACAATTCAGTTTTATAATTTTTCAAATATAGCAATGCAAGTACAGGATAATTGTGAATACCTAGTTGAATCCTTGATATAACTCCATTTTATTCATGTCTACTACTTTTAAGGATAATAAAATCTCTTGGCATTTTGTATTCATAATAGTCACACAATTTCTTGCTGGTTTTTTTGTTATTCATAAGCACAGCAGCAAAAGTTCACACAGTAACCTCATAGTTGGCAAGTTTGATTCTGTCTTTCATATTAGCTATTCAAGTATAAGCAGGATTAAATGTTATGGTGCTTTAAAATAGAATGATCTGGAAACCTAAGTAGATTGTTTTTGTTTGGTTTCCAAAACTGCCTTTAAGTTTACAAAATGGAAAAAATAGCTTCAAGGAATGGATTTTTTATTTAGAAATAGCATTAGGGAAAGCATTAAAATGTCTCTGCTGCGTTGTGTTTCTGATATGAAATAGGTCAGTGGGATTATCAGTATCTTGTAGAGTTTAGACTATAAAAAGATTAACAAATACCAAACTTAGCTCTTTATTTTAATATGTAAAATGAATATTAAACTAACTAGATAGTCTAAACTTCCAAAATAGTTACTTTCTTTTGTAGTTCATGCTGTCCTAATATCTAAAAGAAAAGAATGTATTATTAATTTAAATACCTATAGTTAACATTTAGCAATCCTATCTAGATTAGTGCCCTGAAAAGTAGTTAGAAAACAGATTGAACCTATTTTAAAGCCTCCATGGTCCAGACATAACATTGGAAATATATAACAAGTATAAAATTAAAGTAACATCTTGTGTATTTTTAATAGAAAACAATTTGACTAGTAGAGCTAAAGGAAACAATAAGAGTTAAGAAAAACAGATACATTGTAATACCATGCTGTTCTGAATTACATTTTAAATCAACTTTTCAAGCATCAATTGTCTTTCATGGTCCCTCTTCCATACTTAGGAGGTGAGGTAGCAGTCTAAGGGATATTTGCCAAATTGTTAAAGATAGTCACAACATATAGTTAACTCAGATGTATTTGCTGTTGTTCTTGCATGACAAGTTAAAGCAGAAGGAATTACAGAAGTAAAATGGTTTTTCTTAGGGCACAAATTATTCTTTTAATATGCAAGTCTGGTTTTTATTCTTATGATTTAAATTACAGTTCCTGTTTATGGTCATTGTCTAAATCGCTGAATGTTTGTGAAGGAAAATCCTGCTTTTCACAAAAATCTAAACAATAAATATGGGCTATGTTTTGCAATAAGTTATAGCCATTTGCAGAACACTGCCAAACATAGTTTTCTTCTACGCCAGTAGAAGAAAAAAGAAAACCTATTGAGGCTGCTCTGCGAGGATTTTTTTAAATCTACTATTGCTGTTGCCATTGTTTTTAATCTGACTCTAATATTTGTATTTATAGGAATTTAAAATCTGTTTTATACTATTCATTGGTTCTGCTGCCTCAAGACAATGCATTTTTAAAATAAATAATTTAGAATTATATTTTATAAGATGCTTATTACTACAACAATAGTGACAAGGATATGAAATAGATAGCATGTTTCCCCTCAAAATAAACCCCACTCTGAAAAAAAGACCCTGATTTGTGGGGGTTGGCCTAATATAAGCCCTACTCCAAAAATAAGTCCTAATTAGGACCCTGCCCACTCCGTCCCACCTGGCTGCTGCAATGGGGCAGGAGGCTATTTGGCACATCACGCCGCTGCTGCCACAGCAAGGCAGGTGGGGGAGTGGTGGAGCTGCCCCACACGCCCCACACCTGCTTCCTTCAGGCCCCTCCAGCCAGGCCATTCCTTGCTCCCTTTCACTCCCCTCCCAAGCTTGACTGCCATGCTATCGTACGGAGGTTGGGTGGGGTAAACCTAGTTCCCCTCTGCCATTTTGGAGCCAGGAGGGAATGACATTGAAAGGCTCCGCTGCCACTGTGCACCTCTGGAGGGGCTTTCTTCATGCTCCGCTCCACAAATCACCTGCCTGGCGGCAGCCGCCACCTTCTCCACCAACTCTCCTATGGCTTGTGCTGTGACCTCCACCTCCCTCCGTCATCCCCACTGGAGAGAACGGGGAGGAGAATGGCTCTGCACAGCAATGCAGAGCAGAGAAGGGCACTTGCTTGCTGCCCTGCATTGCCTCGCATCTCTCTTCTCCATTCTCGAAATGGTCGCCCTGTTTCCTGCCAATTCTCCCAGCGTTACTATAGAGCTTGGAACATCATTGCCCAGCTTCTCCCTCTTCCCTTTTTTTTTGCTTATGAAAGCAAAAAAAAAAATTCTTCACTAACCTGCTTTCCAGCTCTGGCACGTTTTTCTCCTGCTGCAGGGAAACGGAATGAGACTAAAAAAAAGTTCAGTCAGACCTTCTAATTTTTTCTGGAAAAAAAATATATCTCGTGAAGTTGGAAGGTCTGACTGAACTTTTGGATGGGACTGTTGGTGCCGCCACCGCAAGGCGAGGCAGATGTCACGGAAAATATAAGACACCGCCCGAAAGTAAGACCTAATGCCTCTTTTGCAGGCAAAAATAATATAAGACCGAGTCTTACTTTCGGGGAAACATGATAGTTGGACGAGCCCAAATATATCCTTTCCATCTTTTCTGAGGATCTTTTTGTAAGCCCTTATTGTTCAGTAGTGCTGTAAGCCTCATGTCTGAAACGTAAGCTTCAATGGAGTGATTATAATTAAGTGTGGACTATTTGCTTCATGCAAACCTTGATACAGCTAAAACGTGGCTTCTTCAATTAAAAAGAACTTATGCCGAGTGTGGCCTCTGCTGGAGATAAATAATTTCTAGTTTTCTTGTTGATTGTGGGTTTCTTGAATAAAAGAAATCAAAGTGAATTGGACCATCATTTTAATGAACAAACATTTTTTTGTTTAAAATGAGATAGAAAATATTGTAATCTGCTGTGTAGTGCATTTTGTGACTTTTGAATGTTGCATAAGGAACCAACAATAGTAGAGGCTGACATTTAATCCTTAGTAAATCTGAACGCACATATATAAACTTATACTGTGCAGATTATTGTAGTATCAGATTATTTTGTCAGATGAAACCAGGGTAGTAGAGAGAAGGAAGTTCTGTCAACTTTACTGGATCTCAAAATGCAGTCGGGATTACACTTAGTATTTTTGTGGGGATTGTACAAAAAATAATAAGGATGTAGACTAGACTGGAAGTCAGTAAATACCTTGGAACAATGCAGTGGCAAACTACTTTTGTTTTGGCAAAGTAAATTACATGGATGTGTCAGAGAACCGAGGCTTATTTGGAAAACTGATTTATGGTGTAAGCGAGTTTGTTCTTTTCTCCTCTTTTCACCATTTGAAATCAGAACTACTGCTGCTAAACTTTAAAAATAAATCAATTGCAAATCAGAATAAGTAGTTAAATAATTGATTTTAAAAAGAAACTGTTTTTTTTCTCAGTCAGTTTATATTTCTTTTTCTCATTCTTAGGAAAGATGTCTGCTGATCGTGCTTTGAGGAAACAGCAGCAACTGAACAACATAATAGCTTTAGTGACAAAACTGTCTAAGCCTGGAGATGTAATTGTGGATTTTTGCAGTGGTGGGGTAATGTAGTAAATTACAATCTCAATTACTTTTCACATATACAAGTATACCACCAGCCTACAAGACAGAGGCAAACAAATTAGAGGTTCATTGACTTTCAAATGTCTGTTGATATTTTGTTGCAATACATTGCATATAAGGATATGCAAAATGTTCCATACCTGTGCCACAGGTTTCAATGCCCATCTGAAGCATATATCTCTCAATTCATATATGGAACAAAAGTGTGTACTTTTTTCAGATACACAAGTTGTTCTGAGGTTCAGAGCAGAAGTGATGTGGAAATACACAGCAAAAGATCATTGCCAGAAGGAACAAGTGCACAGGCCAGTATATTGGCACAGTGAGTGTCTGGGTGAAGGAAGCGACTCTTAAGAAGGATGGAGGCCAGAGAAAGGTGATGTGCTGAGAGGGAGAAGTCCCAGGCACACCAGCCTTACCTTACTTATCCTGTAAAATCACTTTGGGATCCATCCAGATGTTGTTTCCTTAAAACCCGGAATAACCATAACGGATGTGTTTTTTATGATGAACCATGGCTAATCCAAAATTCTTCTGGAACTTCTGAAATTTATTTTACATTCAAAATAAAGTATATTTTCCATTTCAAGCACACTTCCCGTTGTAAAGCAGTGGCTGTGTAGAATTAAGATTTACTTCTTCATTTCTTGTCTTGAACAGGGCCATGTTGGAATTGTTCTTGCTTATATTTTACCCCTGTGCCAGGTAAAGTACCAATGAAATAAATATTGGTAACTCAAAATTTCAAATATGCAATTAGATACGGGTGGCTTATATGCTGTAGTATGTTTTTCAAATACCTATTCACCTTTTTCTGGATATATTTTTTTTAACTGATCATAATGTACCATCCTTCAATAACAATACTTCAAGTTTTTAGAAAATTATTTCTAAGAAAGAAAATAATCTTCCTATGAAGGAAATTTGGTAATAAAAGCAGTTCCCTGATTATATTTTCAGCTTTCTATATTTTTTTTAAAAAATAATAAAATAATAATGTTTGTGAGAACATATATTTTTATGCCTCTTCATAGTTCCCATTTAAAGTAATTCCTATAGATAGTGAGTGAAAAAGACTAAATTAATATATCTAGGCCCAAAGCAAAGGTAACATTTAGGTTAGCCTAAATATGAAAGCTTTTATCCACAAATGATCATCTGTTTATGGGAAGATATCAGTTTAATAATTAATTAATTAGAAATATTAGAACAAGCTCAGAAGATTCTCTAATAAAACTTGGGGGATCACTCCTCTAACAACCTGGAAAAAGGTCTATGTACTTGTAAATACAATATGCACAAAAAAATACTGCTTCCCTGCTGTTAAGGAACTACCAAGGAGAAAACCACACACCTCGAACAACACTAGCAGAGTATGCTACTGTATATATAAAAAAACAAACCTCACACTAGCACTGATGATGTTACCTAGTTGAGTAGCGAAACATCTGCAGGCAAGCAACCAAGCTCAGAGAGCACCAAGAACGCCCCATTTTGGTTCTAATTTTAATGAACTGTTTATTGTCCTGTCTTTTGGAGACATTCTGGCCAGCTTTCTTTCCAGAACACCTCTTCATATACTTTACTGCAGATATCAAGTCTCCTTGTAGTCTTTTTTTTCGCGGGGGAGGATGTCAGGCTAAATATATCCATTAACTCCAATCTCTATGGAAATTTTCAGTCATCCAGATCACGGTTGTCCCAGAGGTGCTTTTCCAAAAGGCAATCGGGCTTTCTTGTTTTTTTTCCTTGAAAACATTTAACTAGTCATCGAGAACTGAAGAAGCTTCTTGAATGAGAAGTGAAATGTTTTCAAGAAAAAAAACAAGAAAATCCAGTTGCCTTTTGGAAAAGCACCTTTGCGACATTAGTTGTAAATTTTTCCTTTTGTACCCTTTAACATCTTAAATTTGGAAGTGGTCCGGTGTGTCAGTGTCCTTCCTTTACGTTATGCTTTACTAAACTTGAGTTGGATCTTTCTCTGACTATATTCTAATTTGCTTTTAGACTTTTACAATTATTATACAACTTCTATAATTATTATAAAATATCATATCATTGTGTATCCTACATGATATTTGTAAAACATTTAAATAAATTTATATAAATCTGATAAAAATGCTAAAGCAATGGCCTGAATATGTTTTAGCTTAAATTCATTCCAAAACTTTACATAATCCCAGATCTGCTGCCAAATTGGAAATCTTGATTCTAGTTTAATTTTTGAACTTTTACAGTAATGGAAAACATGTAATAGTTTTGTAACTATAAAAAGAACCCAGAAGTTTTTTTAAACATAAATCTCTGTTTTTATTCAGTATCCTCAAATATAGAAGTGTTACCTGCGAAATACTGTGATTTAGTTATTGATTCACAGTTGTAGAACTCTGCTGCTCCTCTATGAGCAATATGTCTCTCTGTCTTAAGCCTTGGAAAGATTTTCCCTTGGAAATCTGTGTTAATCATTCTGAAGCCTGCAAATGAACCTGAAAAAATTTTTTTGTTTCCAAATACTTGAAAATGAACCAGAGAGGCCTGCTCACAAATTATTTTGGGAATTGCAGTTGCAAAGTTCTGCAAAATGTGAAAATGATTTCAACTGGGCCCATCTGGTACAAATGTGGTCATGGATTCTTGATATTAAAGACAGTGCATATAATAACTAGCAAACATCTAATCTTTGTTTTTATAAGCTAACTGGATAAAAACTTTGTAGGATTGGCACATATACTATGTGCCAGACATGGATGTCACTGCACAATAATAACTGCTCACAAGAATGAATATTAAGTTTTTAGAAACTCCTTTTTTTAAAATTAGTATAATTTTTCACTATGAGATTTTAGTTTAATGACATATCTGATTTTTGTAACATGCCCAGAACAATGCATTTTTAAAAAGAACTATTTCAAGTCAAGCTTAATTGCATTTCATTTATGTTTATAATGGAAATATTTCTGATCAAGGAAACTTTATGCAAGCTCTTCAGTCTTTTCATTGCAAAATATACCATACTTTCCGGCGTATAAGATGACTTTCGCAAGCGTTAAAATTGGCGCCGAAGTCGGGGGTTGTCTTATACGCCGAGTTATCTTATACGCCAGAAAATACAGTATGTATTGTTTTTTAATCCAGAAATTGACCAGGATTATTTTTTTCTTTTTCTTTTTTAATGTAGATAATTTTGGTTGAAAATAAAGAACAGTCACTTCTATGTGCCGAAAAAAGAAGTGATGAATTAGGATTACATAATATTTGGTTCATCCAAGCGAATATGGACAATTTTAAAGGAAGTTTTAATATTGGGGTAAGCTATTTTACCTTGTTTGCACTTGAAAAACTAAAGATACTATCTTAAAAATAATTTTCATTTAGGGAAAGAAGTTTTCAGTTAATATTGACATTTATTCTCATGCCAATTTCTATAGCATTTTTTCTAACTGAGTATGAATAATAAAAATCACAATGAACAAAAGCTGATGTTCCAATAGATAACTCAGCTTTTCAGAAAATGACATGGGAATGATTGGTTCCTTAATGAGCAGTATTCATCATATGCTTTCATTCATGGAAACACTTATCACTGACAAAAAAAAAAGAGACGCTTCCCTCTCTTATTCAGTGCACCTTCCAAATATGCTTAATTAAATTTTGTGGAATATGAATAGAAAGCCTTTATTTCTCATGGAAGTTTGTTAGTGGGACAGTGTATTCTACTCAAATTTGAGTCATTGACTGAGATGGACAGCCATAGAAATTGAACAAATAAATATTTAGAGTTTCTTTTTGCAGGTGGCACTGCATGCTTGCGGTGTGGCAACGGACATGGTTATTGAACACTGTATCAAAGTTGGTGCAGCATTTGTTATCTCTCCTTGCTGTTATGGTTTCATACAGAATACATCCAAGTTTGTATTTCCACGAAGGTCAGTTGCTTTTCCAATATGTTAAAATTTATAGCATTTTACCCAATATCTGAAACTGCATTTTGGGTATGGTGGTAAAAGCTTTCTCACATAATAGAAAAAACAGCAAATCCAAGCATTATGTTTAACAGCTGGTATTTTAAAATATTTAAAGTTGCTTACAATTTATATCAAAATATTTCAGGTTGTGTTACTTAAGAAAAATGCAAGTTACTAGTGCTGTATTATGTAGAAAAGAAATACATAGTTCCAAGTCATAGAATCCCGAAACATACAATTGGAAAAAGTCATTTTGTTTATGAAATCCATCTTCTTTCTCAGTGGTGAAATCCTGATTAAAGCATCCCGATAAATGTCTGACTTCCACTTGAACAGATCCAGTGAAGCTCACTGGTCTTATTTTTGAAAAATCTTTTTCTAACTTTCAGTTGGATTCTATCTTTCTGTAACTTAAATCTGTTCATCTGGATCCTACAATCAGAACCAACAAATCCTTGTCTCTCTCCAATTTCTTCTAAGTCTCGTAGGAGGACTTACAAGATCCTCTGATCATTCCTTCTGAGAACTTCTTGTTCTAATCCTTCTTAAAGTGTGATGTCTAGAACTAGATATATTTAAAGTGTGGTTTGATCAGCATTAGAATATGGTAGAATATTCCTTCCTGTTATTTGGAAATTCTTCTGTTGAGACAGCCTAAAATTACATTGCTCTTTTTCTTCCAGCCATGTCACACTGCTCACTTACAACTCCATTTATTTGCAACTACAAGATGTTTTCCACGTGTAGTGTTACCAGTGAGGTGTATCTCCTATTTGACTATTTTAAGCTTTAATTACCCTTAAAATTAAGAACCTCAACACCTTCTTCCTATGTTCCTCCTACTATTACTTCCTGCAAAGTTTTCCCTATTAGTTGGTATGAAGTTAGGAGTTTTCCTCTCCCTGAAAAAAAAAAAAAATGTTCATAAGACAAGTCAAGAATTTTGTGGAATGACCATAGACTCCCAGCAGATGTCTGGATGGTTGAAATCTTTTTATTACTTTTTGAACAATTCGAGATTTATTTTAAAAGGTGTTGTTCACATTTTCTTTTTGAATAGGTAGACATTTGGAGACACCAAGAACAATAATAGCAATAGCACTTAGACTTATATAGCACTTCCTTGTGCTTTGCAGCACCCTCTAAACATATTTGTTCTTCCACTTATTTTAACCAAGATGGCCTCTATAGCCTTGTCACATTCATTCATTTGGATTTCTAAACAGGAGTGAATACTTTATTACTTCTGTTCCTTCTACAGCACATAAATATTTAACTGAGTTACAGATATTCACTTTTATAACCCACCCCATCCCAGGATTCAGTTTAAAGCTCTTCTGATCAGACTTGTACTCTAAGTAATTTTTTAACCAGTTCTTGTAGTTGTTAGACCTTGTGCCAGCAGTCCATTATTTAGATAATTGAGATTATGGTCTCCCAAACCATTTCTCTGTCAACACCATTTGCATAGCCAGTCATTTCACTTGTTTTTGTAATTTTGCTCTCCAGACTCTTCTGTTGCAATCTCTGGAGAATGTATTCTTGCAGATGTTATCATGCATGTATAGCTATGGAAAGATAAGGCAATAAGTGCAACTATTCTAAAGTATTCCTGTTTTTTCAGGAACACTTCCAAACTAAGTTTTTAAGAATGCAACATTGTTCAAAACAAACTGAACTACTAATCTGTTTTTAGAGGATAGGTTCTAAATAAAATCTGTTTTGGGTGCTTCTTTCTTACGCTATGTGCAACAACATAATCACTTGATTAAGAATTTGTTTAGCATTTAAAATAAGATCTTCTTTTCTATTATAGCCATCTGTTCAAGAAAGTGCTGTCATATAAGGTAAGGAAAATATAAACTTTGGGTTTAGAATTTCATTCTACGTATCTTTCTTGTTTAGTTTAGTTTTACTGTAAAAAAAATCTCCCATTAAAAATATATCAGAATAGCAAACTTAAAAAGCTTATGTCTTTTTCTCCTTTTATTAATGGAATAAACATTTAGTAAATATAAATTTATTTTTAATTTATTTTATTATCTTGTTTTTAAAATCCAAGAATCTCTAAGGCAGATTGTAAAATAGAATTTAAAACGGCTATTAAGAATTTAAACGTGGGCCAAAAAAACCTTTAGTTCCAGTATAAAAAAAACTATGTCCATTCATCAATTGTACATACAAAGAATAGCTGTCAAATAGGAGGTTTCTAATGTCTTTTGTGGTATCTGAAATATGTCTGGAGACAGTCTGAGCCCATCCAGTAGTATTAGGCCAGATACAGATCTGCATCTTTGAAACAGTTTCCTCTTTTAACAATCATTCTGTTTCCATATGTTTCCCTCCTGGTCTTCTCTCCAGATTGAAATTGGACAGTGATAATTTCTTAATAAGTATCTCTTAACTTAATATTACAGTATTTGGAGTTGTACTTCAAATCCTTATTTAAAGAGCTAAATATAACATATTAATGATCCCCTTTTAAAGCAGCGAGGTATTTATATCAAATAACCATTCCAAAAATCTGAAGGGCATTAATTTTAGTCCATTGCAACGTACTTCCCACAGTGTATTGGAGGGCCAATACAAAAATATACCATCTGAGCTGAGACTGTGGCCCTGTGGACAAGAGATCATTGAAATTATGGCTCAAGTCCTGCCATACTACATCAGGACTCACAGACTCAATTCATAACACCTTTTCTAATAAAATATCTGAGAAATACTGATATTTTTTTATGTGCAACTGTTATAAGATAACCTTTATTGGATACACTGGCACATATTAAAAATGAAACTTTTGTTGCTTGCTTTCAAAAGTGTACACCTACATAATACACATATAAACAGGCTATATACAGCATATGTATATACCTATACCCTTACATATAAATACATAAAAATATTAATCACTGTCCATCTTGAATGCATAGCGGAAAGAGGAAGCTTGAGAGTTAATACTGTATGGAACAAAACTATGACTGAATTTGAATGTTCTGCTTTGGATACCATGAAGCCTTCTCCCAGAAGGTTGTGAAGAGGATGTGTAGTGTCCCACACAATCTTACGGACCCTGCTCAAGCAATACTTATGTGCTATGTCCTGGATGGAAGGGAGGGAACTGCCAATAATCTTTTCAGCCATCCTCATCATTCTCTGCACTGCCTTCCTGATTGAAGCAGTGATGCTTCCAAACCAGATTGTAATGCAATATGACAGGATGCTCTCGGTCGTCCCTCTAGAAAGTGGGATAGGGGAAGGAAGATGTACTTTTCTCATGCGACGCAGAAAATGCAGGTGCTGCTGTGCCTGCTTCACTGATGTTTTTTTTACACCAGTTCACCAAACCTCTACCTCCTTGCGGTAAGTACATATTGAATAAGGCCCACTACTATTATATCGTCAGCATACTTCACAATATGGTTGCTGAGGAGAACCTGTGCCTAAGAAAATAGTGTTAGAAATATTAGTCCCAACTCACACATACTGGGGCCTATCAATAAGAAAATCAAAAATCCAATTGCACAAAGGAGTGTTAAAGCCTAAAGGGCCAAGTTTGATTACTACATGCTGAGGAATGATTGTGTTAAATGCTGAACTGAAGTCGACAAACAGCATATGCGCATGAGTATTTCTTTCCTCTAAGTCAGGGGTGTCAAACTGCCAGCCCCTGGGCCAGCTGTGTCATGCCAAAACTGCGCCCACCCCAGCTCCAGCAATGGTGGAAAAAATAGTGATACATTGTGACATGTCATGTGATGTTACGAGTTTGAAACCCCTGCTCTAAGTGCTCCAAGCTCAGATGGAGAGTCGAAGAAATAGCATCCTCTGTAGAGCAATCAGATCAGTATGAAGTAGTTTCTCTGAACGTGGCCAAAGTCTGCTGTGCTATATGTAAAATTAGACAAACTTTAACTGGCCTTCATTAATCTATCACCAATTGCGATATATTATTTTCTCTTTTATTTTTTACTATTATTGTTTTAATGTTTTATTTGCTAGTCTGTGACCATAATAAAAAATTGAAATTGAAACATATTAATGAATAGTTTTAAAGTTTCTAATAAATGAAAATATATTTTAAAAAGCTAATACATGCTACTGCTTAAATCAATAACTCATGTGGAACTTGAATTTTTTTTTTTTTTTACTCAGAACTAGGGAGATAAAAGAACACAGGATTAAATCTTTTCACATAATTTATTAAACATATTCTGAACACTTTTTTAGATGAAATCACTTAAAAGGCATTTATATACAAAAGTTATTTTGTATATATAAAGTTATTTTATATATATATTCGCTGCAGTGGCCATGTCCAAAACCTCAGCATGTCCTCAAATAAAAAAAAAATATAAGATGTAAAGAAATACATGCTATCTTTATTTTTGTGTATTATCAACATTTTACTTCATACTTGTTTGGACTGGAAGTATTAAACCAGTGAAAAAATAAAACGTTACTAATGTAAATTATTTTTTAAAAAAATTTCTATCATATTTTTTCACATCTGAAAATTCTTCTTTCATTGAGTTCATTGAATGTTGCAATGATAAGAAAATAGCAAATTCAGAAGTTAAGATGTCTCATAGTGAAACATTATAGGTTCTAAGAAACAGATTGTTTTCACAAATGTGCAACAGGTTTTTTCTTTTTTTAAAAAAAAACCCAGTCATTTGTGCCAGAAGGCATTCCAAAATCAGTCCAATTTATTTGTAGTATTTTATGTGAATCTATACCAGATGGTGTCCCAATTCCAAGTTTATATCTTATAACTTGGTTGTATCAGCACTAATGAGAACCCTTCCAGTTTGGATTTATATACTTTTAATTATCCCTATGAAGCCAACTTGGTGGCTAGACATTATCACACACTCCCTAGTTTATCCCAGCCTTGTATTTTTTTTATTTGTCAAATGAAGCCAATAGCATTTTTATCCTTTAATTTTTTTGTTCAAAATGGCAGTAACAAAAGCCCATAGTAAAGAAGTGATAGTTGGTGATGGAGATTATGTGAATTCTCTTATAGAAAATTCCTTTTATCACTAAATGAAGTCACTTAAATATTAAATACACATATATGTAATATAGAACAGTGTTTTTTAGAAAAGAGGAGCAAGGGAAAAATGGTGGGTTGATTAAACCTTCATTAACCTATCATTTTTTCCCACTTACAGGCCTCTCTTTCAGATAAAGAGGTCTCCCTGTTTGCATTAAAAATAATGCAACATTTGACTCATCTTAAGATATACACTTGTAAATAGAGGCATTCGACCAATTTTTCTACAGTTAGAGCATAGCTATTTGATATCATGTATATATGTATAGGGCAGGGATAGGCAACCTTGGCTCTTTTATGACTCGTGGACTTCAACTCCCAGAATTCCTGAGCCACCATGGCTCAGCATGGAAACCTCTCCCTCTCCCTTCAGCATGGCTGGCTCAGGAATTCTGGGAGTTGAAGTCCACGAGTCATAAAAGAGCCGAGGTTGCCTACCCCAGTATAGGGTATCAGAGAAATTAGGAAAACTTGTTGTACAATTTAATAAAATGATTTTGTCCCATTAAGGGGATAAAAATCCAGACAATAAAACTTTTTCCTTCATGAATAGAAAGTCTCAATTTAAATAACCAGCTTTTTCATTTAAGCTAATGTTTCCAAAGAGGGAGCAATTTACACACATAAACCCATTAACACATCTAAGGAGGTTTTATTCCAATTATGTCATTTTTCTAAATATTAGATTTATCTTCTGTTTCCCAGACATTTAGAATCCAAAATACCTAGTTAATGTTATTTCTGGAATGCCAAGCTCTGTTTTGAATTATACTGTTAAATAAGCATACAAACAAAAACACTGTGATTTAAAAACCAGAGAGAGAGAGACAGAATATGGCATTTCATATGGACTAGCAATATATGTTAACATTTCACCTAGATTAGTAAAACACAATAAAATATAAATGTTAAAAAGATGTATGTTCAAATACCAATTTCTAAGCCATCTAATCATTGAAGCATAGCATCGTTTATATTTTAAAAAATTAGATACTGGACCGGTATGTGCCCTCAGCTTAGAGCTGGTCACAGTGTGATCTACTGTTTGACGTGGGATCCCACAGTCACACTAGGGAAGATACTGTGCCCCATTTGTACAGACAGTCCTGGCAGACACTGTGTGAGGTGTGAATTCTATTCAGGATTGTCCATTACTGATGTGGTAGTTCAAAGCCTGGCACCTTTTTTGGGGGAGGGGTCATGTACATATCTTCCTATGTCTATATTTCCAATGCATTTCCCTCTTAATTTACTGGTTTGAAATTCTATCTCTGCCAGTGTCAGGACCAATAATTTTGTACAAAAAATAAATGTAGCTTTAAGCAGTGTAATTTTGAGAACAAAAAACAAAAACAAAACAGGTATTGTACAAAATAAAGCATAAGTTGAAAAAATAAAAATAATACATATACTGTCATGGCATTGATCTTTATTTTTTCACTTAATAGGGAGTAGACCAGTGGTTCTCAACCTTTCTAATGCCGCGACCCCATAATACAGTTCCCCATGTTGTGGTGACCCCCAACCACTTATACATCACCGGGTGCCAGGGGCGTGGCCAAAGAAAAGGGGGAAAATGGCGGACAGCCTTGTTTGGCGACCCCCGTGAAATGATCATTCAACCCCAAATGGGGTCCCGACCCACAGGTTGAGAACCACTGGAGTAGACCGATTTCTAATTTAATGTAATGTACACTACATTTGGTCAATTGCAGTATGTGACTGCATTAATGAAACTCAGTTTCAGATTGTACAGGTAAACTTAATTTCTAGGGGTAGAGATTAATAAGCAAACAAATCAAAAGTTCAAAAGCTCATGGTATAAAAGTACAGCATTATGAATACATCTGGGAGTCTTGTACTCAATCACAGAGCAGTATGCCTATCCAAGAGTCAAGAATAATGAAGGAGAAGGGACAAAATAGTAACACAGGAGGCATTACAACTGGGCGAAAGTCATTTAATGCTCTAACAGTAAAAGCAAAGAGGCAAAAAATACAGTCAGGGATATATTTCCCCTTTCCAAAGAGTAGTTGCCAATGGAGAAATCCTGTAGTTTTCATTTGCAATTATAATAGCTGTATCCAGTTTTGACTGAGTCAGAGGAACATTAATTAACCTTCCCTTGCCCTCCTTTCATTGGCTTTCAGAATGAATGACAAAAGTATAATCCAAAATCTGCTGATAGCAATTTTTAATAGAAACATAGGTAAACCTACTTTTCTGGATAGTGCTATTAAAATAATTATTTTTGTAGAGTAAAACAATGCCAGTGACCATTTGTGTGTGTGTTTGTTGTGTGTGTGTGTTTTATTCTAGGAGCACATGATTCTTTGCAGATTTGCTGATCAGACAGCTGTCCAGCTGCCCTCTGAACGCAGGCAAATAGGTATGCTTTTCTGTAGAACAGCTGTTGTGGAGATTATATACACTGTATTTGGTGATGTGATTAGCTTACTATTAATGGCTGGTTGTGACAGGTATTAACAAGCAGTTATAAAAATGTATGACTGATTCTAATCTCTTGTCAACCATGAAGACTCTTGGGCAAGCCTTGCCCTTGCAGATACAGATTTCCTTAAAAATCATATTAACACTACTAATGTTGCCTCTCTCTCTCTCTGCAAAATCTGTTTCCTGATTCTTCTGATAGATGTACAATAGGTGCTGTTGTGAAATTGGTTTTCTTGTAATAATAACACATTCAAACATAACCTCTTGTTTGTGCTATAAATGCTTATTGAGCAATTTAATTATATATAACATGTGGATAGATATCCAAAGTGGTCAGTGACTCATAAAAACAGCAATAATATGCTTTACTATGGATAAATCAGACATATCACTACAACATATTAAAAAAATAAAATGAGGCATTGTTTACAACAGTGTTTCCCAAACTTGACAATTTTAAGGCATGTGGACTTCAACTCCCAGAATTCCACAGCCAGCACAGTAGGCCAACCAACACAGTAGGCCAACCAACAGAAATCATTAGGTTCACTGTAAGGCAGAACAGAACAGAAATTATTAATCTCACTGGTAAGTTCTCAGCAGTTTTCAAGCAGTAGTCAAAGGCATGGATTGACCAGGCTCTAGATTCATATTTAGTTTATGTCTTTAAGACGTATGACAGGCATTGCTAGTTAGGAATCTTTACTGCATATCAGTAACTCACTTAAAGTTGATTGCTGTCTGTCAGCATGGAGATACAGCTCTCTATTTACCCCACTCTAATTTTAGTTACTTCTTTCTCCCATCTCTTGTGTTCTCTATAACAAACTCTCTGCCGTATGCCTGTTATTAGCCTTCAAGCTTGATGATTGTTTGATTATATCAAAACTAATTGTTCTTCCCTGAAAAACTGGCTGTTGACTGAATTCTAATGCTGATTAATTTGACTATTTTTAAAACGTTAAATGATGTTCTACAGTATTATTCTAATTGATTTTATGTTTTAGTCATTATTAAATGTCTTAGGAAGACATGTGATTGAAAAGTGAACCATAAATATTTGAAGTAAAATATTTGCAAGAAGTAACAGAAAAATTATCTGGTTGCCAAGAGTTAGCAATGACTTGATGGTGCATAATTAATCAGGAGAAAAAATGAGTATGAATATTAATGAAAGTGTTTAGTTACAGGCTGTATTACAGAGGTATTAAGAACAATAAAAGTGTTTGCTTAGACACTTGCATAAAATATTCAGTCTCTGTGGTTCAGAGTACATAAAGAAATTTCAAGATCTTCTAACCTTTTGTATGTCTCAGTAAATCTGGCAGATTTTAAAGTTAGCAAAATTATGCTGTTATCAACCCAGCTGTGCATTTGAAAGGTGTCATTCACCAATTGGGAGGGAGTACCTTTTCCAATACTTTGATGATATATAAAGGAAATATGTCACATAAGGATGGGTGGAATGATTGTGTCTTTGTGTGCTTTTAAACGTTGATTCAGCATTTCAGCAGTCCTTTTTCCCTTCACAGAAAAAATAGGAAAGAGAAATTTCTGAACCTCAAGCATCTTCTTTCCTTCCATCTAGCTTTTGTGTTCTTATTCTTGTCTTGTTAGTTCTGATGTTATACTTGACATTAGGCTCTATTAAAAATCTTTCTATTTCAGTCATCTTTCTTCACCTTTTAAACTTGCTAATGGGTGTGTAATTTTATTTTCAGCTGATTGGAGGGGGGGAGGTCAGATCAGATTAGCATGAAACAAATGTTCCCTAAAAAGAGATACTGAAATACACTGGGGTGCAATTAAGCTTAACGATAACTAGTCCTCCCTGAAAGTAATGCTTTTTGAACCAGTAGGACTCACTTTTGAATATTTACCAGTGAATGCTTAAGTTTGTGCTGTCAACTTTCTTTCTTTTGTTATATTTCCAACCCAAATTGCTCTTCCCAGTGCTTTTTTTTTTTTTAAAAAAAAGGTTCCATCCAAAAAAGGTGCTGGAACTCCGTTCTGGGTGTTCTATGAGAAAAAAAGCCCTGGCTCTTCCAAACAACACATTTTATTTTTATTTTTTTGCTACTCCTCTGTTACTTCCACTTTCTCAGTTTCTTAACAATATAAAAATAATTTATATAGTATTTTGTCTCTGGATATCACTGTTATAGGGATTGACTTCTGTATATAATATAAAGCATGGTAGTCACCAGATGTATAAAATTAGATAATGTGTAGATTTTTATTTAGACCAAAGATGGATTACAAAGTAGTATTCAAAGTTATTTGTATTTTGTCAATTATTATTATAATATTATTATATGTATCCAGAAACCCAAAATACATTCCAATTTCTCCCCAACAATAATTCTATAGGACAGGTGGCGATGAGAGATTTCTGGCCCATGTTAACCAGTAAGCTATGATTGTGGGAGATCTGGAATTTGGGTCTCCCCAGATGTAAGGCTAACATCTTAACTGGCTTTCAGAATTTTTTTCATATATATGAAATATATATATATATTCTGTTCATATATTTCAGGTAAACAGTGCATGGGACTGGTGGACCTTGACCGGGCTTGGAGTGTGGAAAGAAGCAACTACTCAGCCCAAGTGATAACCATGGAACCACAGTCATGTTCCCCAAAGAATAATTTGATAACTGGTATCCCAGTTTAATTCAAAGGTTTTTCTGTCAAGTTGAATTGATATTTAGTTTTCTTGATCAAAGTGCAAATAACTTTTTGAAGACTGGAAAGGAAACTCTGTACATCTTGAATCAGTTGTCTCCAGAAAAAGGAAGGAAACGCAGTAGGGGCTATCTTGCAAAGCTTCCTAATTCCTGTTTGAAATATGTGTTTAAATGACATCTGGCTCTCCCAAAATGTTAAGCAGTCTACATTATAATAGCAACCAATATATCCTTGGAAGAATGATTTCCTTTTCTATGAAAATTGGTCTTGACATTGGGAAACGTATTTTGCAAGTGTTTTGAGCTTATCAGTATTGAACTAGAGAACAAATCATAGTATCTTCTTTTCAATATTTTACAATTATATTTTTGTGCTCAGTTACAACTGTATTGCTGTAAATACAAAGTATCACTTTGCTCAAATATTTTAATATTTTTTTAGAAAAGTATATTCTAAATTAAAAAAAATCTCACAACGTATGATCGCTGTGTGGTCAACATCCATGTGGTTTTCTTGATAACTATTTAAGTGTGGTTTGATTATTTGCAATTTCCTACCCTAGCTTAAGGGTTTTTATATTTTGGGTAATTTCCCATTAAAGTACTAACTAGGTCCACTCTTTCTTAGCCTATTTCAAGATAGCCAAGGTCATCTAAGGAATGCTTCAGGTCAAACTCACCACTGTATTTATAGTATATAATTTACAAGTAGATTTATACATTAACTTTGATTACTGTCCTCTGTAGGACAAAACAGATTTGTAAGGAATTCTTTAAAGGTGCGTATGTACGTTTACCTGTTTTTTCTGCAACTCTTTATCTTCCTTCAGTGAGAGTATCCTTTAATCTTTCCCTGTGAGGATTATGTTCCATGTTTTGATTTGGCCACATGAATGCTGGGGAGGAAGAGGATAGGGAAAAGAAAACAACTGTGGAAATGACAGTTACAGCAGAAAAAAGCCACATGCCTATACTTCATTTCTTTTCTTTTTTTTTTTTTAGATCTGTTTCTCTAGGAAATTCTCGTTGGTATTTTGAGATATGCAGTCATGTGTACGTTACAGTTTGGTCCTCCTGAATAAACACGGGAATAGCACTCCTTTTTCAGGCTTTAATTTATATTAGCTCATTTTTTAAAAACTCATTTTAAGTTATGTTGTCATTAGCCACTCAGACAGATTCTTCAGAAGGTAAAGTAGTGTAACCAGATACAGAACACTTTTTAAATTATTACAGTGTTTAGGTTCTGTTTGGTTTACTCAAGCAATGAACTGTAAACCTCCTCCAGAATTAATTCATTAGAGTAGACTTAGTTGTTCCTCCAGTAATGTCAAGGCTGGATAAAATGTTCATATTCTAATATTTCAAGCTTGATTATGTTTCTCTCATATTTATTGTCTGAAAAATTAAAGAGATTGTTCAAAGCTAAGCAAAGGGAGAGCAATAATACAGTAATCCTGTAAAGAAACATTTTGTTTTGAGTGGTTTTCATAACAGTTTACTATTGTTCATGGCACAACCAATGAGTTTATTTTTTCTTGTTCTGTTCTATTGTACTAGCTTTCTAATATCAATATAATATCAGTATAATGTATTTTTGAGACTATTGGATTCTTTCAATAAGAAATTTAACATTTACTATTGAACATTTAAGATGGTCCATTGCATATTTAATGATAGTTTTTGCTTGTATTCCTTTATATTGTAATGTTTAAGACAGTTTAAAACTGACTTTCAAGACAAACAGTCCCAAGGCAATTTGTTCACACTTTATTTCTGTGAAGATAAAAGGCAGGAAGACTTAAATGTGTGCAGCTTTTATCTTCCAGAATATAAATGAAGCAATCTTAAAGGAAATATCTTTGGTAGTACCATTCTGTTTCATTACCAGATCATAAGTGACAAAGGTGTGAATACAGTCTTACAAAACTGACTGCTTCAGAGAGAAATTTGATAGATAATTACTAAAATCAGCTTTTTTAAAAAAAAAACTCTAAAAGCTTATTATCCAAAACGAACTCACACATTGAAATGGAAAAATGCTGGAATTTGGCAGCAGTTGTAAACTCTGAAAAGTACCATGTCATTTCTCCCTAGTCACTGGGAGAAAGAGAAAGAAGCAGATGGCTAAGCAAAAGGGCTCAAAAGACATTTTATGAGCTGATAATGAAGTTTCACAAGTGACAAGATCTTGGTTGGAGAAAATCAGGTCTACAAGCGTTCTGGAAGTTCTTCAGTAGATGCTAGTGAGAGAATTTCTTATACGGTCTATCCAAGATATACAACAGTGATGCAACATGGAAAAATGAATTGTTGTGGATGCCTCATAACAAATGTGTGGCCACAGTCCAAATGTATTAAAGATTACAGTTAATACCAATAGCAAATTGTAAGTACTATTCAGTTAAACTAAAGTAAGGGCTAATTGGAACAACACTCTTTGCTTAATTTTAGAAATGCATGTAGTGTAGAGGCTGCCTGCACTTCCAGACTGCAGAATATCCGATAAAAGTAGGACTACCTCTGGGAAGATCTGTTACTTGATCTCTGCCCCAAAAACTTCATGAGGAGGAGTGACCACTATTGCCTCCTCACTAGATAACCAGACAAGGTGAGCAGATATGATTTTGGCAACTTGTAGATTTGAATTCAATGGGACTTCTTGTAATGGATGAGTTATTTTCAAAGGATGGAGTTTGACTTATCCACTGCATATTTAGAACTTCTGGGTCATCTTCAATAGTTCATTGTGGTAGTCCAAATAATGTAGGTATGTGATCATGACTCGGTTACCATCACCTATTAGAATCCTGCCCCATCATAAGAGTTTCTGGGCAAGAAATCATTTTACTGTATTGTACTTTTTTTAACTAGACAAAACCAAATCTGTTTGATATATGAATAAGGAGCCAACAGAGAATTTTGCCAATATTACCTCCTCTTCCTATGATGACAAATTTTCGTTTATGTGTTTCTATTTAACATTTATTCCTGCCTATATAAATTTAACTTTATTTCAGTCTGAATGGTTATGGAGAGCCATTTTGGAGTAGAAATAAACATTTTCTCTAAAAGTAATATTTTGGTAACTATCATTTGCTGCATATTATCAAAATAAATTGATTAAAATCTATATGAAGCCACACACTTCAAGATGCCCATTAAGTCATTCTACTCTAATGAAAAATATTATTGGATGCTGTCTGAGATATTTGTTCACCATTGTATATCAACAACTAGAGCTAATGCATAAATTATTACCTAGTTTCCTAATCTATGCTCCTTGTAATTTTATCTGTTCAACTGTGCTTTCTAGTTTATTTTTTCTTTACGATTGTAGTGTTCCAACTGGGGTCATGGTTTAGGGTGTGTTAACAAAGCATTCCAGGGATATGTTTTCAAACTGGCAATTGGCTTTCATGCATTCATTCCTTTTTTCCCTTCAAAAAGGTCACAACACTTTTCATGCTTTATTTTTAGCTTCTAATTTTCTTGCTGGCATAAAGTTTAGTAGTGCAAGTATGTGTTACAGAGACCGATGTAACAACCCTGTCAAATTTATCTGACAAAGACCAAATAACAGAGTCACAGAACTCTGACTAGGTCTACTAATTTATTTTTCTAAAATTGCAATACCCACTTATTTAAATGTTGTACTTGTACATGCAGATTTAATTAGGTTTTTTTTTTAAAAAAAATAGGCAGTTTCCCTAGGCCCCATGTATCAACAGTATGGTTTAGTATTTCATATTATCAGATGGATTGGTACTTTTACTAACTCATTTACTTAAACTGTTTTAAATAAAAATTACACCAAAGGATTGCAACAAGAGGAAAGAGGGAGGTGTGAACATTTTTCACTTTCTTGCCTCTTAGAGGTCCTTTATATGTCAGTTTCCTAGAAGGTGAATTTGTTAAGAATATTATTGTTGAATAGACAAGTACATCTACTTCATTCCAATTCCAGTATTGGAAGAGATTTTTAGGATAATCAATACAAAAAGCTGTATAAAATTAATCTTGTAATTATTCTTCAATATTTGTGTAACAATTTATATTTGCCTTTTTATGGCAGGCTGGACTGTAAATAAATGCCACAATGGCATTTATATATTTAACTATTTGCAGTTCTGACATGGAGCCCAATTAATTTATTAAATTAATCTTTGTACATCCTTTAACATGCAAATGATTGCTTGGAATAGCAGCAAGTTATCAAGATTTCAGCAGACAAGAAAGGGAATTTAATATTCCTTCCTGAAACTATCATGAAAATTACTCTTCTGAAATTACGCTTCTGGATAAACTTTCAATTGATGCCAATGGAATTTTTTTTCTTAATTCAAATGGTGCTTTTATACAATTGTTTTCATTAAGAATTTAGAAGGGGAAGGAAAGGGTTAAATCTTTCCTTGGTATTCCTATATTCTTATTTCCAAGCAACTGTATGTGGATTCTTAGGAAATCATACCCATAATTTTGTACCAAGATATAAATTAAAGACACATGAGTATTCATGTTTGGGCTCATATTGACTAATCCACAATAAGTTAATTTGGTGCAACTCTCTGTACTGAAATCAGCCAAATCACATATCTTAGTGTGAAAATTGAATTTTGTCATAAATCTTTATCATTTCATAGGCTGATGGCAATAGTGAAAGGTTTAAGGCAAATGTGGCTACCACATTACTTATTGAATTGATACCCTACTATTCCATTAACTCCAGTACTCAAAGCATTTTGCAGCAAAGATGGAGAGAATAAAGCATGACAATAAAATAGATGCTTATCCAAGTAAAACCAAGCTTAAATCACAAAATAAAATGTAGAAAAAGATTTGTTTTTCCAACTTCCTGAATGCTGGGAAGATTGGAACCAAATTCATCTTAGGAAACCATTGCCACCACCTGCAAACCCAATGAAAGCTCAAGTCAAGGAGTATACCCTTATTACAAATCAGTCCTTCCTGCATGAGCACAACCCCATCCCAAACATCATGTATTATACAATCTTTGCATTTTTGCAACCTTGAGAATGGTTTTAAAATTACTAAAAAAAAGGAGTCTGCCTAGCTACTGGCTGTTCTAAAAGCTAAGTAGTGTTGGACCTGGATAAGTCAGGATGATCGCCCAGAAATACCAGTCATAGGTTACTCTAGGAGTCAAAAACCATTCAAGAAAAAGACAGTGACAAAATTAGATGATATTTGTCTAGAAGTTGAGCTCAGCTTGAAGAAGGCTCAGTGGAATTTGCTGTTTTCAGATTAAGAAAGGACAGGGATTTTGTCAAAAGCAGCTGCAGGATTTGGGTGCTATATTTCAGAGTTCTGTCCGTGACAGCATCATTGCTGCAGTTGCTCAACCCATCTCTGTCTTCCTGGAAAAGACAGCTGCACCTCTTGACTTGATTTCCTGTTGTTCAAATTGTGCATAGTTTTTATTTTATTTTAGTGGTCTTCCTTTTAGTGATGTGAACTGCTTTGATATCAGATAACTGAAAAGCAACAGAAAATTATAGTTAGTACAGTGAGTAAAATGAATAGTAGAGGAGAGGAGGAAAATTGTAGATGGTGTGGCCAAAAGATGTGCAGATATGAAATTTGTTTTATCTGAGGCAATCTGGTGCCTTCAGATGTTTGGGGACTGCAATTTCAATCAGTTCCAGACAGCTTAACATGGGTTTCCTTTTAGGGATGACAAGAGTTTTAGAAGAGTTCTTACTTCAAAGCAATCTGATCACAGTAGATGTTATGGGAAGCTCATAGGATTATGTAGCTATTCAGGTTCAAAATAGAAAAAATTGCTTTGGAAGGTATGTGCTTAGGGCTTGCTGCACCTTTTCCTGATATCAAGAAAGAATACATTTGAGTTAAAGAAGTGTTAAGGAGGTGATGACAAAAACATGCACCTTTTTAGCATTTCTGTAATAGAAACATTTTCCTCAGATGATACAGCTATCACACAAACTCAAGGAAAGACATAGAGGTGCATATGAGCAACTATATTCATCTTATTGGTCAAGCTCCATTTGACATATCTGCCAGTTTTCTATATTTGCTGATACATTTAGGCAGCTGAGACAGTGTAAGGATACACTCAAGATACTGTGCACTGTTGATCAACAAACTCTAGCCAGGATAGTTGTTACCACTCCAGATTACCTTATATTCTTTTATCTTGAGGATTTCAGTGTCCATGCTGAGGTTGCCACATGAGAAATGAATTATGATTTCATGGACCTGTTTGATATCTGGCTTTGCATATCCAGTAGGAGACACAGTGGATTTGTGTCTGGCTATTCTGTTTGGCTAGTGCCAATGATCTGCTAGAGCAGGGCTTTTCAACCATCGGTACAGGTACCACCTGTGGTACATTGGCACCTGACAGGTGATACATGACCATCCTAAAAAAGTGGTAGCGGGGAAGGGGAATGAACTGAACCGGTGGCAGCACCGCACAAGCCTGAGCGAAAGATGGCTGGAGCTGCAAGGCTGTCAGGGCTCAGCGGAAGTGCCAGGATCAGCACTAGGCTCCAGCTGGAGCTCGGCGCTGATCCTGGTGCTTCTGCTGAGCCCAGAAGAAGCGCCGATCAGCTGGAATGTTGCAGCATCTCCAGGGTCTTGTGATTTACATTCAGATGCTTGGCAACTGATTCATATTTATGACGGTCACAGTGTCCCAGGGTCTTGTGAAACCTGCTTCAACCACCCAGCAGACGGGGGCAATAAAAACCAAACACCCCCCACCGCACTCCTGCTGCATATCCTCAACAGAAATGCTCACAACAATGAAAACCTCAGACAGGAGGAAGAGTGCTGCCGGGCGGGCAGGAAGGTGTCTTGCTCGGCTGTGGCTTGGGGGGCACTTTTTTCAATGCCATTGTAACTTCGACATTCACTAAGCGAACTGTTGTAAGTCGAGGACTACCTGTACTTTATCACTTTATTCCTTTTTTGGGGGGGGTCATCAAGTTTTTGATACTTTGCTAGGCGACTGGTAGTACTCGGATGTTGCTATATCCTAAAAGTGGTACAATGGGTGAAAAGGTTGAAAAGCCCTGTGCTAGAGAATCATTCTGTAACTCCAGGATAATGGTCAGATTATTCTCTGTGCATATTTACAGTAGCAGCTGCTCTAAACATTTATTTAAAAATTCAAACAAATTTGGATTTCTTTTTGGATGAACTTGGAGAATCTCCCATCTAATTGGTCATTATTACCGATATTATCAAAGTCCTGATCTGTAGAATATAGTAATGGCCTGGATAGTTGGTATTATAGCTTAAAAATGCCCTCTTCTCTTTAGCAGAAGTCAGTTGACATCTTGGTTATTGGAGATCTGAGAACAATTAAGCAAACAGAACTGAAGTAAAAGAGAGGAAATATAATGAGCAATCAGACTGAACCATAGAGGTTTTTTTTAGGTCCATTTATCATCTAATTCTCTTTAGAAGGCCAGATCCTGAAGTTGAAACTCAAATACTTTGGCCACCTAATGAGAAGGAAGGACTTACTGGAAAAGGGCCTAATGCTGGGAAAGATTGAGGGCAATAGAAGAAGGGGACGACAGAGAATGAAGATGGCTGGATGGAGTCACTGAAGCAGTAGGTGTGAACTTAAATGGACTCCAGAAGATGGTAGAGGACAGGAAGACCTGGAGGAACGTTGTCCATGGGGTCGCGATGGGTCGGACACGACTTCGCAATTAAAAACAACAACAAAATCATCTAATTTTTAGACTGCTGCACACTTAAGACACTTGAAATAATATCTGCAGTAGCAATTGCCATAAGGACACACCTCTCTGTCTTCATTATGTCTACACAGAACAGTCTTATGATGCTTTAGGAAAAAAATGCTGCATTCCATCAGGATTTGGGGGGAGTGCCAAATTCAGAATCCAACTCAGGAATTTTCACTTTTGTTGTTTGTGTTTTTGCAAATAAAACTGTTCAGATTTGCTTCAGTTTGGACTTTTGAGGCAAGTCATGTTCATATTCTTTTCATCTGAAGATGTGGACAGGGTGTGTGGTGATGAAAGCCACCACTTGTTCACCCCTTATTCTTCCAAGCAGAGTAGTAAAACAGCCACGCTCCCACAGACTTCATAATTAAGGGAGGTGATCAATTCTTTTCTGAGTGTGGAATGTGACCTGCATACTAAACGCAGGCAGAAGCCTTTGTTTAAAAAGACCTCCCTTGTCCTTGAATATCTCTATAATTATAGGTTACTCTTGGATAAGGCATTGATAAAGTGATGACATCACAATTCCAGATGTGTCCTACTCATTTCAATAGTGTTCCTTCCAAGATAAAATATTGAGATGCCTTTGTCATCTGCAAAAATGATCTATGCCAGAGATCATAGCTGGAGGGAAGTGCAACTTATATTGGACCTCTTGGCTGCTTTCTACCTTCCCATCTTTCTAACAGGTTGGTTCTTGGGACATGGTTTTGGAGGGACACCAAACCTTATTTCAGAATGTGTCCAGAAGGTGGTGCTAGACGAATATTGTTTGACCACTAGATATTGACCTATGGAATGCTACATGGTTTTTTCATGTCTCCTATGTTTAATATATAAATGAATCCTTTTTGGAGAAATGTTATCAGGATGCCAAAGACAATTCTATTCTTCTATCTACTTTTTAACTCCAAAGGAACAATCAGTACCCTTGAATGCTATCTCAATGATGGGCTGCATAAGAAAGAACTGAAATTAATTTCAAAGTAGAACGAGGTGCTTAACTTGGGATGAAAGTGAAGCTTGTTCTGGGTGGGAATGCATCCCCCATAAAAAGCAGGTTCACAGTTTGGGATTGTTCCTTGATTTCCAGCTGCCTTTGGATTTGCAAGTGCCAGCTTTGGCAAGGACCACATTTGTACAATTATAGTCAGTGCACCAAATGCAATACTGCCTGAGGTGATTTGACACAACAATGATCAACATCTCAATTACAACCCATCTTGATTAGTGCAAAGCTCCTTTTGTAAGTTACCCTCTCAGGCTATTGACCTGAACAGGTAACAGAGATAACATGGATCCTGTAGTGCAGTGATGGCGAACCTTTTAGAGACCGAGTGCCCAAACTGCAACCCAAAACCCACTTATGTATCCTTGGGTGCTGGGTGAGTGTGGGCCATTGGGTGGGTGTGGGCCATTGGGTGGGCATGGCTTTGGTGATAACGACAGACTGGGTGGAACTAAAAAGTTCAATCAATTCCAACTTTGCGAGATTTTTTTTCCCCGCAAGAAGTTGAAACCTTTTTTTTTTTTAACACGGCGGCGGAGGACTAAAGCAAAAAGGTTTTATAAAACCCAGCTGAAGGCCTAGGACTGGGGCGATAGTGTGTGTGCCCACAGAGAGGGCTCTGTGTGCCACCTGTGGTACGCGTGCCATAGGTTCGCCACCACGGCTGTAGTGCATGATTTGGACTGATACTTATTGCTTTTAGGGCACAATTTAAGGTCTTGCTTTGAACCTTTAAAGCTCTAAGTAGCTTAGGACAGAGGTGAGGAATTCTGGGAGTTGGCTGAGGAATTCTGGGAATTGAGGTCCACAAGTCAGAAAGTTGCCAAGGTTGGGGACCTCTTGCTTAGGACTTCATTAGTTCCAGTCATGAATTGTCCTGCTTATAGAAATAGGCTGGAATTCTTTCCAGATGCCTTCCCACCCTGCCCGAACCTTTGCTGTAGATATGTGTAGATATGTGGGAAAGAATCTCCCGTGGCTCTGAAGTTATGGAATATACTCCCTATTGAGCTTGTTTGACTCCTACACTCACACCTTTTAAGAAGATACCCAAAGCATTTCTTCAGCAAGCTTTTCACTGTTAATTGTTTTAATGATTGATTTTCAGTTTCATTGATTTAATTTTATTCTATTTATTTACACTTCTATTTTTTACATTGTGGCAAGGCATCCAGAGAGTCAGTTTGGTATAGTGTTAAAGCATCAGGCTAGAAACTTGAACACCTGAGTTATTAAACAGACAGATGACTTTTAGCCAGTCCCTTTTTTTCTCAACCCTAAGAAGCAAACAATGTCAAATCACTTCCGAAATCTTGATCTTGCAAAAAAAAACTGCAGACCAATTCAGGCACTCACCAGGAGTCAGAAACTGACCGGAAAGAAACATGAAAAAAACAAAACATCTGAAGTATGGGGGTAATAAAATAATGTGATTATTTCCCTTTATTTTCTTCCCACTATACCTTAGCTCAGTGGTTCTCAACCTGTGGGTCGGGACCCCATTTGGGGTCGAATGACCATTTCACAGGGGTCGCCAAACCACACTGTCCGCCATTTTTTCCTTTTCCCTAGCTGTCCTACTCCCTCTTATTGATGGCCACACCCACTTGGGGGGGTCACCACAACATGGGGAACTGTATTTTGGGGTCACAGTATTAGAAAGGTTGAGAACCACTGCCTTAGCTTATTAATTTATTGCCTTAATGAACGGTACTTCAGTCTACCCCATTAAATGTAGCGAGGCTAATCCCCATGCCCAAAGAAACACAACCTGACATTCATCATCAAAAGTAAGCTTCCTTTGGGACATCCACCAGCGATCACAATCGGAGGCCCCGCGCCTTTGCTTCCTTATTCCGTTTGTTTCCAAGAAAGCCGTCTGAAACGGCCACCGACTCTGTTCCGCAGGGAACCTGAAACGGCCGCGCTTCTCCCACGTTACCCGAAGGCGAGCCGAGACGCGCACGCCTGCGCTCCACTCTCTTCCCGGCAGCGGGCGGCGTGACCGCCTCCGAGCTCGAGGGAGGGGAGCGCCAGGCAAGGACACGCGGGGGGGGGCTCCCTCCTGCCGCTTGCGTTGTTATCGACCTCTTCGCCTCCTGCGAGGACTTGGATTAGCTGCAGCCGGGCGCCCCCGGAGGCCCCGCTGGCGTTCAGTTCCCCGGCGCGCTGGGCTGGGTTGAGGGCGCCTTCTAGAAGAGCCGGGCGGGGCGCTCCGGCGCCTTTGCCTCTTGCATCTCTTCCCAACCTGCCGCTGGTGGTGGAGAGACCCAGGGCTGTTCTCCCTCTCTTCTTTTTCTGTCTGTGTCTGTCTGTCTGTCTTCCCTTCTCGACATGGATTTATCCTGGAGGATCCTCGTTTTATCCTGGCTTTACCTGGAGACTTTAGGGGATTTCGACGGCAGGTAAGTTGATCAGTTTCCTGGAAAGGAAAAGGTTGGGGAAACGAAAGAAAGGGTAGCAATCCGAAGCCAAGCTTCTTTTCCGAGCTGGTGGAGAATGAGAAATTGTCCAATTTACTAAGAGAAGGAAACAATTCACAACCTTGACACTGCCTTCTGTTTCCACCACTAACATCTGAGTGGCTAAGACAGGGTAGAAAACCTGTTGGAGGTGGAATCAGTCTGCACTCCGTTTTCTTTGCACGCTCCGTTCAAAATCTAGCACTTTGCACAAAATACAGCTGTGAAAGTTTTCACTTACTTGAGGAAACAGAGCTGGGAGGAATCAGTGGCAATAAGTGGCACCTGCAATAAAAGGTTTGCAAGACCCTAATAACTCTAAATAAGTAGATAAATGAAACAGGATTTTATTTTTGTGCACCCTTTTTTGTAATAAATCATAGCCTTCAGGCACACAAAACAGTTCATATGCCTAAAAGATTTGTGACATAATGATTGGCACATGCTTCCATACATCAAATTCCATTTTATCAAATGCATGAGTTAATAATACGCCTTTTTAAAGTTCATGGAAGACTCCTGTTTGTTATTTGGAATTTTTGGTTCGGTTCTGTTTTTCACTAATTTAAGGCTATCCCTCTGGAAATCAGAAACCTTGAATTGTTACAAGGATTCCAGCAGACCTTTGAAGTTGGTCAGTTTCAAATTCCTAGCAAAGAGAAAAAGCCACTTTGTGAATGGGAGACTAATTCAAGCACAGGGTTTTCTGATTTGTAGTTTGGTCTTTAAACTGCTGCACTGCATTGAGGGGAGAACCATCTAAACTAGGAAGGCTTACAGCTGGCATCTTGGCATTTATTTGAAAATAATTTCATCTCTTCCAATGGAATTTACCTCTAATTAAATGTGAATAGCTCTGAGTCCTAATCTGAACTGATTATTTTTTGATACAGGTAGCTATGGTAGTCCTAAACAGATCATTGGACAGTTGAATTATTTTATATATCTAAACTGACTGATAGGAACTCTCTATTATTAGGTAGACCCAGCTGATGATGTCAGGGCTTAAGTCTACAATCTTCTGTAAGTAACCCATCAGCCTCAGCCTTTTACTTAACATTTCTGCCAGTAACTGAAACCAACAGTACAGTAGATTTTTGATAGGATTGGGCGTTTTACACGTTAGTGTAGATCAGTGTTTCCCAAACTTGACAATTTTAAGGCATGTGGACTTCAACTCCCAGAATTCCACAGCCAGCAATGCTGGCTGTGGAATTCTAGGAGTTGAAGTCCATATGCCTTAAAATTGTCAAGTTTGGGAAACACTGGTGTAGATGGAAAGAATCTAATCTGCATTTGAATGTGCAGGAAGAATACTAGCAAGAAAAATTGCTCTAGTTTAATTGATAGGCTATTGAGAGCTGTGCTATTACATCTGTAGAAATGGTAAGCATAACATATGATTATACTCTATGGATATTAATCATATTCTGTTGCTTGTGCTTTGTGAAAATAACATGTTCACAAAAGGTAAACATGGAAGAAAGAGCTTTAAAACAAAATACTTTAATTGCTGAAGTGGTTATTTCCCCGTTGTTCATGTATAATTATATGGATTGTCATACCAAGTAACTGCAGCCTCCAGAACTCTTATGTTTAGCATCTGTGTAGCTTCAGTGTTTTGGGGTGAATGAGAAAAGAATGCCTATCTCCTGTCAGATAAATTATGCAATTGACAGTAAACCAGGGAATATTTATAATCCTGTAAAACTTTTAATTTCTTTTTATACCTGTATGTTTTCCAGGTATGCTTGGATATCTCTAAACACATACGTAAAATAAACATTAATCAGACAAGCTGTAAAATTAAGGGCACAATTATATTCCACCATTCAATGCAAATATTTCAGTTGTGTAAAGATGCATGATAGGCAAGCCTTGACAGGTTTAGGCAATCCAGGTTTCTTTTGAAATACATTGCTTAGTTGCCACAACCCTTCTGTAACTGATAGACCTATTAGATATATTATCTTTCTACAATTGTTAAATAGATCACAACTGCAGTACTTTGACCTCATTTATCAAGCTATTTTCATTGGAACCCAGAATAATGGATACAAAGCTGTTTTTTAACTAGGTATCGCAATGTAAACAGTCAGGAGGAACAAATCTAAATGGAAACCTGTATATGGGAAGTGTTTATCTCTCCCTGTGATTTGAAGCCATGAAAAGAATGCACACCTGCTCTGTTTATTGACTGGAACTGATATAAGTCTCCAGACTTACTGGTTTTCATAATTCATGAAGACATTTAGGAATGGTGAAGAATAACAGACCTTATGGCTATATCAGTAGGCAAATCTTGTAAAAAGCAAATCTTGTTTCATATTACACTAGCCTCTTTGGTCTCTGAATATGGAGTATGTTCAAATCTCCAAAATCTCAGAGGCTAGGGGACCTAGAAATTAAGTGAAGCCCAGACTTAACAACACAAAATTTTCTGGTTATACTACAGACCCACGTGGCTTGGAAACACAATTGCAGACCCTAGTAGACTTGGAGTCCTAGTGGACAATCACTTAAATGTGAGCCAGCGGTGTGCTGCAGCTGCCAAAAAAGCCAACACAGTTAGCTTCTATCTCTCTATTAATGCAGCTAGGCTGCATTAATAGAGAGATAGAATCAAGATCATATGAAGTGTTAATTAAGGTGACTAACCATCCTCTTTTAGGGAGGACAGTCCTCCTTTTGTAGGTTCTGTCCTCCCTCGAAAAGTGTCCTCCTACATGTCCTCCTTTTCGATATTTGAAGACTAATCTGCAGGGCTTTTTTTTCTCATAGAACGCTCAGAACAGCGTTCTGGCACCTTTTTTTGATGTTTTTTTTTTCAACTTTTGCATGAGCTGTGCTACTCCCACTATTGGCTTTTGAAAGCCGATAGGAATTGCTGCTGAGCGCGCCAAAACACCCGGCTGGCAAACTTTGCATATGCAAGTTGTCTGTATTATTGTTGCAATGAATAAAATGTTTCTTTTATTTACGATATTTTTTTTTCAATTTATTTGTGTCCTCCTTTTCATTGTAAAAAAGTTGGTCCCTTATGTTAATACAACTTTACAATGCCTTGGTAAGGCCACAGTTGGAATACTGCATCCAGTTTTGATCACCACAATGTAAAAAAGATGTTGAGACTCTAAAAAAAATGCAGAGAAGAGCAACAAAGATGATCAGGGGACTGGAGGCTAAAGTATATAAGGAAAGGCTGCTGGAATTGGGTATGTCTAGTTTAATGAAGAGAAGGACGAAGGGGGATAATAGCAGTGTTCCAATATCTCAGGGGCTGCCACAAAGAAGAGGGAGTCAAGCTATTTTCCAAGGCGCCTGAAGGCAAGACAAGAAGCAACGGGTGGAAATTAATCAAGGAGAGAAGCAACCTAGAACTAAGGAGAAACTTCCTGACAGTTAGAACAATTAACCAGTGGAACAACCTGCCTCCAGAAGTGGTGAATGCTCCAACACTGGAAGTTTTTAAGAAGAGACTGGACAGCCATTTGTCCGAAATGGTATAGGGTTCCCTGCCTGAGCAGGGGGTTGGACTAGATGACCTCCAAGGTCCCTTCCAACATTATTATTATTATTATTATTATTATTATTATTATTATTATTATTATTATTATTACTCGTGCCACTGGCAGCTTCATAGAATCTATCATCACAATAAGTAAGCTCACCCTATGAAATCTGCTGATTCCCACTTTGAGTTGAAGCTGTTAATGGTTGATTTTGTGTCGAAAGCCCATCTCTAGACATACCATTTGCTATTTAATATCAACAGCCATCAGACTAGATTTTATTTAGCCTTGCCATCACATTTTCTAATAGTCCTGGGGATGGACTGGCTTCAAACTCATAATCCATATGTTAATTAGAACTAGAATAATGTTTGGTTCACCTGCCTACAAAACTCACAGCCTGCAGGGCTTTAAACCACCCACATTGCATCCTCTGGCAGAAGTGTCCTCTTTTGTCTGGCAAATACATGGACCATGTTTTATTTATTTCTTGTTTAACTGAGTTTAGGCATCGCCCAACTGCAGTTGCTCTGAGCAATTCACAAGCAATAAGGTTGATGTGTTTGGAAACGGGGAGACAATGACTGTGATATCCATCAACTTTGTGATTGTACTTTCAGTCTTATTCCTGCAGCTCGGATTATCACAGAACATCACATCTACAAAAGACAGTTGGATACCTAAAGGACTTTTATTAATGAGAACTTGCAGAAAAAAATTATCTGCCCATTTTCTTCCCCTGTAAGTGCCCTGCCTTTGATGTAGTTCATTGTTACCAACTCCTTGACCCTCTATCTATTAATGAATACTGTCATTTTCCCCATCTTTTTGAAATCATGGAATACAACAAAACCTACAAATCTTGTCTCAGAGGACCTTTCAAATTGTTTGACATGAAAGAGGGATATAGACATCTAATTCCCATTGATACTCATTACTGAAATGTTTAGTAATATTATTTGAATTTGATAGTTCTTCCTCAGCCTTAATGAGATTTATGAACCATGTTTATCAAGACATATTGGAGACCATTCAGATCATTTTTTTGCTTATTTACCATTCTGCACATGACACAAGTATGTGCAATTCTGCAGTTCCTATAAAAACATGCTCTATACCAGGGGTCTTCAAACTTGGCCCTTTTATGGCTTGTGGACTTCAACTCCCAGAATTCCTCAGCCAGGCTGAGGAATTCTGGGAGTTGAAGTCCACAAGCCATAAAAGGGCCAAGTTTGAAGACCCCTGCTCTATACCAAGGGTCCCCAACTTCCGGCTGTGGCCCACTACCGAGCCTTTAGTCGTTTAGAATCGGGCTGTGGAAGTGGCGGGTGGGCGAGCGTGTACACGCATTCCCACTTGCGTGAGCAGAGGGCAAGTGCATTCATGTGCGCTCCCATTTGCATGAGCAAATGGAGCTGTAGGCAAATGGAG